CATTAGAAAATATATATGTTTTATGAAGTTATCTTAAGATGTGAAATTATAGAAAAATGAGGATTTCATATGTATAAGTCTTTTATCATTTGCATAAAGCAAATTATTGTTGTAATTTGTTTAAGATTGTGACTTAAGTTACTCAGACTATGTACATGTATGAGACACTGAAGTAGAATAACACAAAGTAAAGAGTAACACAAAGAAAAGGCATTAAAATCAATTTTGGTAATCATAAAATCATAAAATCAAATATCATAAAAATCACATATCATGTGACTGATGCGTCACATGATAGTTGTGAGACAAATATAAAGGATATGAATATTATGTTGGTGAGTTAGAAAAGAAAGGAAATTTAAACTTTATTCCTCCAAAGAGAACTCTATTTTATGGTTTATAGTAGTCATTAGCAAACTTCTAAGATAACATGTAATTTATCAACTTGTGATTTCTTATTATTTTTTTGACTAGTGATTTCTTATTGGTTTTTTTTTGAAATTATGTATTATTTCTACACTTTTTCCTGTTTTGTTTTTTTCTCTAAATAAAATTCTAAAAAAGAAGTCATTGGTAAAGATTAAAAAAAACATACTTTTAGCTAGAAACTTGGGAAAAAGTCAGGTATTTCAAAATCATGAAAGAATTCACATAAATAAAGTGTGCTTTTCTTTTCGTTTCTTTTTGTTTTTCAGGCACTGCTCTAATGGTTCTGAAGGGCAGGTGTACAATGTATAGAAATTTTTAATGCTACCACAGTTAAGGGCAACAACACTTACGCTGATTCTAGGAAGCTTCCTGCTCCAGCTATTATTCTTCCATATTCAAGGCTACTGATGTACACAGAAGCCACTAATTAGTTACATTACCACTGCTTCTTCCTCCAGCATAAGCCTAGTGAAATCTTGCAAGCCATTGTTAGCACGGAGCAGAAAGTGAATGAAAAGAATAGGGGATGGGAAAAAAACGGTGAGCAGTGAAACCATCTTGGAGTTCTTTTATTGCAGCTAAAGTTAAAGGTTTATAATATCTATTTGAAGTAAACTAAGTTTTGTGTTGTGAGCATAAGAAACCTGACTTGATATATTGGGTGAAATGTACTCACTGTTTGCTCATATTAGTTTGGACATTAAATTTATACTAACACAGTATATTCTATGTTTAACAGCATGTTTCAGAATATCTTGTCTATGGATCCTGAATAAATCCACTAATGTTCCATGCTTTTTAATCACATTTATAATGATATACCACATCTCCTGCAGAGATTTTGAAAAGAATAAATTAAGTAAGACTATTTAATATCTACAACAATGCTTGACACATTATGCACTTAACCTGTGGCACCATGACCACCAGTAGTAGAAAGTATTACCCTCAACTGAGCTGGACTAAAATGCCAGAAATAACGTGGACAATAGTGTACCTCACACTCTCCTTTGATTTCTCCCTCTTTCTGTATACATGAAGTGTTATCTATTCTAGGGAAGTACTGGTTTACACTGCAAACAAGAATCACTTGGTATTTGATAGCAAGGATGCTAGTAAGGGAAATACTTGAGGAAAGTGAAAGGAAGCCAATATATAACAGATATTCGGATGAGGTGAGCTTTGAGAAAAATGCTTAGGTAGTAACTTAGAAGCTACCTGAAGAGGAAATATTTATGAGAATATGGACCTATTATGTTGAGAGTGCATTTAAGACTTATTAGTTAGGGAAAAAAACCTCTATGTTCTGACTAGGAAGATTGTGGGTTGGGAACTGGAGGTTTAAATAGCTATTGAAAAACCTGTGAAAAATAAATTTTGACAAGTACTTTACTAATTATCTCAAACTTTTATTCAATGTGAATTTTTCTCAAAAACATGCAAGCATTGCCTTCCTCAGGAACCTCAGAAATCTCCCCTAAACTATCTCGGACTGCACTAGTGAAAGAAAAATATTTCAAGGCCACACTTGAAATTCGTTATTTAATCTATTCATTTATCTACATATTTGCTCACAAAGGCCTATATAGAAAAATGAGTATTTCTCTTCCATGAGTGCAGCTTAGTGGAAAATTATTGCTAGAATTTCTGGGAAAGTGAAGTCCCCTAAAAAGGCAGAGTTCACCTTGGGGTGAAGTGGTGACAATGACTAGCAGAAATAGACCACCTACGGAGAAGCAACAATCAGAAGATTGAAATGGAAACATTTCATCCATTTGCATACACTCTTTACCAGTTATAAAATTAGGCGTTCATGTAACATTTAACTTGAACTGATGATTATGCTACTAACATCGTAAAAAAACAGAACAAGATACAAATAAACACGACAATTTTAGACTTAAGTCCATTCTATCAAACACATGAAGACAGCTACTGTCATGCCCTAATTTTACTAAGATACAGGTAACTATAGATTTTCAATTTTTCTTTATATTACATGGTTACAAAATAATTTCAAAATGTTTTTTCTCATCTGTTATTTGTGACCACTCCTTTTAAAAGTGACATCAAATTAAACAAAGGTTTCAAATGAAATCTAATATAGCTCAGCAGAACTATTTCTTTCAATTATTTTGATGTTACCTTCATATTCACGAAGCCAAAATTAAAGCTAATATTTTACAATTAGCTTCATACTTCCACCCAATATAGATATCCTCACAGTCAAAATGTTACAGTGTAATGTACATTAACCATTTTACTGCCAGGTCACCTTTTCTGAATGACCTTGGAAATATTCACACACAATCCACAACTGTTGCTAAATAAATAAATGAAATTTCTAAATGAAAGGTAATAAATCATACAGATAGTCAAAAAACACAGACTGTGATGTAAAGTATGGACTTAAAACATCAAGTTTGCATCGAAGGATCTTTAGCAAGAAAAATACAAATTACACAACAGAAATGTTTTTTTTTTATGTAATTATGCAATTAACAATCAAACAAAAGATTTGAGCAAGTAACAAAGTTAGTTCCACAAAGATTTAGTAGGAAAATTGGGATGACTTGGTACTAAAACGGTTAAAGAAAAAAAAAAAAAAAAAAAGACTAGCACACATTTGTTTTTAAAGAACAGATTAAATAATTTAGATTAAGGTATATGGCTGATTAGATAAGGATCAGAAGAAAATACGTGGTAAGAAACAATATTAGATGAAGAACACTAATTTTGAAGTGCTAAAAAAAAAAACAAAGAAAATTGGATAGCAAAGTTGATGCTCTAAAATGATGACCATGAGAAACTGGAAACTATTAGAGCTTCGTATCTACAAAATATCTTGAAATCATTAGAATTTCAAGAAACGTGATTCAAAGTATATGTCACTCAATTCTAAAATAAATTAATATAAAGCTCTGTAGAAGATAATGTCTTAGAATTCTTCTACATTTCTCTTTCAAATACATTTTCCTTTAGGATACACATTTAAAGTGTTCATGGAAAAAATTATTGTTTGTCTTGTGTAATAAAATGCAGCACAGTCCAAGCAGCTGTGAGTAACACATTTTTATTACCAAATTAATAATTTCAAACTAGACCAGAAGGGACCCTTTCCCCCTGGATATGGAACCATATTGTTCCTTCTCTTAGCTAAGCCAGGAACCTCTGATTATAATGAAATGTGCCTAATTAAATGGCAGCAGTTGGACTTTGATATTTTGGTTAATGAAGTCCTTGTTTACTTTGATTTCATATGGTTCATAAAATTCCTAAAATAGAACCATGCTCTGTCATGAAACATTTCTAAAGAAGGGTTTGACAATAGAATTACAAATCATCAATCTCCATTTTGACATTTCCATCTAATTTACTAATCTGCTCAAAGGATTAAAGAATAAAATAATAATGTTTAAACTGTGTTGAGGCATAACATTTAGAATATGCTTAAGTGTTTGAATCTCATTAAAGTTTGGAAATGTTAAATTTCAAAGTCTGAATCTGAAAATAAATAGGAACCATTAAGATTAATAAGATTGAGCTCAGATAACCTCTTCTTTTGATTTGGAAAGGAATCATTCTATAATACTTTAAAATTATTTGTTTTAATAATAGCATTAGGACCATTACTAATATAAGTTATAATAATGAGAATAAAAAGGGATAGCATCTACAGAGAGGTTACTCTAAGCCAGGATATGTATGAAATACTTTTGGAATAATTTTTCTGCCATATGAAATATGACGGATATTAAAAGCTTGCATTGATCACTCTGTTTTAGAATACAAATCATGTAAAAACAAATTCCACACTATAATTATTGCACATTTAAATTGTACAAACGGAATGACTTTTACAATCTGTAAGACTTACAAAAATGCATATGGTTATTAAATAGAAATCAAAAAAAAATAAACCCAAAATAATTTTAAGTTATTTTGATAATATTTACTGAGTGATAATCACACAATGTAGAATTTTGTACTATGAAAATAGTATGGCAAGTCAAACTTATACAATGCGGATTATATTATGAATCTAAATATTCTCCTTTAGAATATATATTCCCAAGATAGAATTTCAGATTCTCATATTCACGATACAAATGAACACTATACTATATGGACTACAACTGTAAGTTTTTCCTCCACAAATTTGATAGGTATAGTTGGTCGTATCACATACAATAGCTATAATGGATGGGTTGAATGAAAAATACGGAAGACAAGACAAAGTAAGACAGATGACTCTAAAGAAACAGATATGATGGAACAGTTAAGAATATCATGTTATACAAGTTTTAAAATCCCAAGTAGTCAGTATCAGCATCCATACTGCCTGTGGAGTATTAAATAAGCAAAAAAGCAGTAAATATGTAATTTGTTTTCACAATGAATTATAAAATAATGCTACAATAGTATTTCTCATATTATTTAATAATAAAAATTTGCTAACCTCCCAAAACTCATTTTAAATTTTAAAAAGTTTTTTGCAGTGTCTTCACAGTAATTACTTTTTATGTTTGATAATAGCATGCATCTCTGTTATTAAATATTAATTTCCTTACCATTGTGTAGCTGTGAGCCACTTTCATTAATTCAATACAGCCCTGGGCATCGGCAAACGCTCGGATTCCTAAGCAGTTTGAGGGATGCAGAAGCTTCATGAGGAAGTGGCAGCACACATCGACCACCTGCGGGAGCTGCAGCAGGCACGCTGCGGCAAGCAGGTTCTCGATGGTGTCTTCCTTCAATTCTAAGCAGCCTAAACATAAAGGAAGACAAATATGGAACAGGTTTTAACATAAAACAACATGTAGAACTCAATTACTCAAACAGGAGACCAATGTGTTGAGTACTGGCAGACTAGGTTGATAATTAACATAAATATAGCTCCAAAAGGACCACAATTTGTTTTAAGCACTATACTTTTATTTATATGATACTCAAAATCACTCAGTAGATATAAAAAGTTTCAACTAAAATGTCTATATCTATTTTGAAATAATTGTGGTACTTCCTTTGTGAAGTATAAAGAAGAGAAATAACATTTGAGTTATATCTTCAGGTACAGAGGGCACGTATTCACTTGTTCTGAAAAATGCATGTTTGTACATGAATATGAAATAGTTGTGCACACGAATAACAAACATGTTTGAATTTATATGGACATATGTTTTGATTGATAATATTTCTTTGTGGTTAATAACTGCAAAGTATGAGCTCTTCAGCATTTCCTTTATTTCCTAAATTTTGGAATAATTTATTAAAGAACTGGGCTGAGAGTGTTAAAAATTCTTCTTTGAAATATTTTGGATGAAATCAATCTAGGGTTAGATTTTAGTTAGTGAGTCAATATTTCAAGTTCTTCACCTCAGATTTTCTATTCATACCTGAATAAATTCCAATAAGTTTCACAAGTGGTTTATTCCATTTCTTGTTAAATATACGATTAGCTCTTCACTAGAGATGCCCTTACTCAGTTTACCTTAATACAGGGCCAAGAAGCATTTCCTTTGAGTCATAATGGACCTAACAAGTTCTTATGGCAAGCTGAAGGGCTAGATGTGTGTTGCTGAGACCAGTGCATTCAGAATGAGTCTTCTTCTAAGTGCTCTGATTCTGCCGCCAGCTGTTAAAAGTGACAATATAACCAAAGAAGGTATAGAAAATGTATTTGAAAGCCCCTGGGTCCTGAATTAAAACCTGGAATCATTAGTTTCAAATATGAATATTCAAATAAGCATTAAGTATTTGAGTATATGTAATTACATAGGCTCTTGTAGATTAATCAATTTTGTTCGGTATTTTTTGTTTTATTGTTACATAAAAACTGTAAGTATGTGAAAATTTACTTTCCATGTAATTTTTGCCTTCTGTTGTTTCTACCTTGTTAAATCAATCATGCTTTCTATTGTATTGCACATTTAGGTAATCATTTGACAGATAAACTTTCTTTGTTGTTATTGCAAACATAGAGTAATAGTCATGCAGATAAATTCTTACCAGGCTAATAAGTTAATTAAATTTTGTTTAGAAACAATTGGCCTTGCTGCATATGAGGGAATATAGTTTAATACATACTGGCAAACTTGGTTATTTTTATTTATATGTCTCCTCATCTCTACCTGTGTTTTCTGTATTTCTCAAACAGACCATACCTAAGATTTGTGTGTCCGTGTTTGTGGGATTCTCTCTGTGTCTATGTTTTTCTCTTTTTTGTACTCACTTAGAATATCTAAAAATTTCATTATCTTTCATTTTTAAAAAATTCACTAAATTATATTTTTATTTCTAGACATTCCTTTTGTAAGATTATTGGCAATGTTTATATTTTCATATCTATCTCCAAGTTAATGGACACATACTTAGATATAGCCAGCATTGTGTTGACACTGACTTTTCAGCAGTATAAACATCCTTCATTTCCAGGATTTCTTTCAATAATCTTTAATTTTAGAAATTATTCCAATTATGATTTTCTCTCTACAGAATTTCAATTCACAAATCATCAACTTTTGATGCATTTATGATCTTTGCATTGAGCTATATCCCAAAACCATTTTTATTTTTTTAAATTTTGAGACAAAGTCTCACAAAGTCACTAATTTGCCTACAATGGTTTGAGCTTTTCTTCCTCTTGCTCAACCCACGAGGGTTCTAGAATTATAGCAATGTGCTACTAAGCCTTTCTATCAAAATAAAATTATTTAAAAATTAATTTCAGACATCATATTTCAGTTTTAACTTCTTCAGCAATATCATCAAAGATAAAGGACATTCCCTAATACAGTGGCAATATCATTATCACATGATATAGATACAGTATTATTTATAAACTATATATATATATATATATATATATATATATTGACTTAGTCAAACTTTCAACTAGTATGTCATATAGATTTTATTTTTAAAATCAGGATCTATTCAAAAATCACATACTACATTTAGTTACTGTTATGGTTGATACATTATGTCAAAAGCTTAACTAAGTCTAGAGCTTCACTAAGTAATTCCTCAACATTTATATATCCTGTGGTGTGGAAGGAAAGTCCTTTCCAACCCAGGATGTCATTCACGTATCAATTTGAGAAGTTCAAAGTTTGACTAAGTTACTCAGAAGGAGGCTAAGATCCTCACATTGCAAACATCCTGAGCTTGTGCAAGAGGAGGGCACACCTACCCTGGGTGAGTGAGCCTGCGTATTATAAAAGGGAGGAAAGGAGGTTTACTCTGTAGCTTGAACTGTTTCCTCTGGGCCATGCCACCTTGGCTTGGAGACAGTTGATTATGGGTTGAAACTTCCACAAACCATGAGGTAAATAAATCTTTCCTTCCTTAATTTTGGTGCTGGGGATTTTTTCTCTCAAGAAAAGTAATCAAAACACTTATTAAGTTTCTTTGCTTTCCTTTAAAACAATTTCAACACTTGTCTTTATTATCCGTGATAGTTATTTGATGAAAAATCCAGACTATTCATTTTATGGAATTTCTCAAATTACATTTCTATCATTTCCCTAGGACTGGATATAGGTAAAACCTTTTTGGCAGGAACAGCGTTGATCTTAGACATTCTCTGTGTCGGGTTATTAAACTCACGACATTGAATTAAGTATAGCCAGGAAAGCCATTTTATTGTACTCTCTGTAGAAAGAAGTGGATGTGAGCAAAGAATTGTAAACTGCAATGTATGATAGTTTATTCCATCACCTAACAATAGGGAATTTAACAGTTGTGAATGGCTATTGATCCATTGAAACTGGATTTCATTGCTACAATGAAATCATATTTCTTATTTAGAAAACAATGTTTTCTTTCTTCAAATGATAGATATATGAAAAATACATTTAAATAAATGTAATTAAATTACAAATGAGGGTTTTAGTACTGAACTGCTTCTCGGTGGAGTTTCAAAGGGACAAGATGAATAGACAGAAATGGAAAACCGTTGATCTTTGCTGTCATAGACTCATTTTATTGTCCTTGCCTAACATTCTTCAACACTTCTCCAAGTAGACAACTGAATGCTGAACTGTGTTGTATTTGGTACTCAAAACAAATAAATCAAGTTTTCATTGTGGCTTGATGGGTAGTATGACATTTTTTTGAGAACTATGTTCATAAAATATGGATAAACTTGTATTACAGTTCCTAAAATTTGTGTACTATCGGTTTTAGAAAGCAAAGGTATTCTTCCTTATGGAAAAAAAGACTAGGTGCCAAGTAACATGCACATTGAAAAAATGAAACAATTTGGGGTAGATATTTTCATTACAATAAAAATCAAAGTTTGGCAACGGTTAAAGAGTTGTGTAAACCCACTACAGATTAACAATGTATGCAACTGAAGCACACTTAGTGTTCCTTCCTTCATTAAGTTAAATAACCCAATAAACTACCTTTACTATATGCATACACACATACATACATACATATATATGTAGAAATACATAGATAAATCTCTCATCTGTTGCAACAAAAGAATTCCAAATCATTACTTCTGAGCTATTTTTCCGAGAATGCAAGATATAAAATTAAGGCAAACATGAGCGGATAAGTCTGGCAAACATTGCTTCTGTTTAATGATCAAGTGGAGCATCAACAGTGATCAGTCATGTTGATAGTCTTTACTTGATAGAATGTGGTTAGACTAAAAAATACACAATCTCGTTCTCATCATAATCATAAAAGTCTAAATTATACGGCACTCGGTAAAATATTTGATTTGTACTCTCAAAACAGTTAATTATCAAAAACAAGAAAATATGAGACTCTAAGCTGGGCATGGTGACACACACATGTAATGCTAACACTTAGAAGGCTGAGATAGGAGAATTGTTGCAAAATCAAGACCACCCTGGGCCACAAAGTGAACCCAAGGCCAACCTGAACTGCATAGTGAGACCCTGTCTCAAAAAGACAAAAAACAAACAAATAAAAAAGAGAGAGAGAGAGAGAGAGAGAGAGAGAGAGAGAAAGAAAAGAAAAGAAAGAATAGAAAATGAGAGGGTGTTAGAGTGATCTAGAGAGATATAATTTTAAAGAAACACAGTGTCCATAATAGGATCCTAAAACAGAAATAAGATACTTGATTAAAAAAAAAATAATCAACAGGGGCCGGGAATTTAGCTCCGCAGTTACAAGCACCTGCCTGGCAAGAGTGAAGTCGTGAGTCTGACCCCCCACACCAAAATTAAAAAACAATAAAAACATACCGTCTTCAAAAAAATCAACAGTGAATGTGTGCTAATAAGGAAATTATGTAACAGTAATATATACAGTTTGTGCCATAATACATGTACCATACCAAAGTAAAATATTGTAAGTGGCGAATGAGACATAAGCTATATGAGAAGTCTGTGTGTGTTTTGTGATTTTGTGATTGTGTGTTTAGTGTTACTCTAGAAGCATTCTCATTTAAAAGGTATTTTTATATCTGAAAGCGTTACTAAAAGTAGTAAGTTCATTTTAATTTCTTAAATGATAACATTATTTTCATTTCTTTCTAGTAGCTAGTATGAAAGGCACACTGGTGCAGAGGAAAGTTGGATAGATAGTTTACCTTACGATGTAGGTTTCATAGGCAGTTTTTGTACTTATCTGGCAGAACATACATATCTAGTATAATTATTAGGAGAAAATGCATCATATTCTAACAAAACTGATGTTATGGAAGAACTATTTATGATATATGCAACACAATTATTAATGGTGAGCCACTTATTTAATAAGGTAGAACACCACTGACTCATGCTCACA